TGCTCCTGCCAGGTGGGTATCGCCCCTTTTTAAGGCACTCTCCTTTATCCAAGCATATGATACTCGTCGCTGGCCAACTTAAAGCCAGGAAATGTCGCACCCAATGGTGGTACCCACAATTAATGAGGAGTATTTGGACTCGGCCGACGATAGCGAAGAGGATGAGCTGCGCTATCCCACCCTAAATGGCCATGACACCAACGAGCTGTCGAGCTGTGAGATGTCGAGGGCCGCAGCAACAGCAGAAATATCCTATAAGAAGATCAGGACGTCATTTACTTACTTGTGATGCAAATTGTCAGCTTGTGGCTTTGGCCATTCCTTGGTCCTGCATTCTGGACGTCAATGAACATTCATCTTTCCCGCTTCCAGATGATTGCTCACTAACCAATGTCAGCTGGTTTCACCATGATAACAGCCTCCATTCGATGCCAATCTGTAAGAGGAAAAATTGCTTACTTAAAAAAGGCGGAGAAATCAGCTACCAGGTGGCGCGGGCTAACCGTCAGTCTCAGGGTATCCTTAATGGTCTCCATACCGATTTCTTTAAACAATTATTTTGTATTTCTTAATTGGAGCAGGGGCAGCAGTTATCCGAAAATCCATTGATCTCTATTTTGAATTGGGGGCATGGCTGAAACGCTTCCGAGTGACTTTTAAATAGGAAAACACTTTGTCATAATTGGTGAAATAAAACTTCTTGTAAATGGTTATTGTAGCCACCCATACCCCCCTGTTTACGAATAAATTCGAATGGGCCCTGTTTCATTCAGCGAAACTGCGTTAAAAATCTTTAAGTTTCGTTCATTTTTTAGTTTGAACTTAAACACCCTTTGATCAACGGAAGGTTTTTCGGTCTCGGTCGATGACATATTTACTCGATTTGAATATTCTGCTTAATATTTCCATCCCACTTAGACTCTCAGCCGTGGAACTAAAATTTTCTACGATTGTGCAATACATTCGCCACAAGATTGGCCTACTCTTCATGACTTCTTTTATTGGATTGTTTAAAAAAATAACGATTTAGCTCAGAGTTCGAAAAAAAACGAAATAAATAAACGCTACGTTTTTGAATGTTTTGTTACGTTATTTGACCATTTGTTGCTATGTAGTATTTTGTGTACCCTGTTTCCATTATTAAAGATAAACATTTCTTTTTTGAAAGCTGCTCGTAAACATAATAATGGCTTAATGTTTCTTTATTGTGCAAAATTGGTTGAGATCTCTCCAACGCAGATTTACTTGTTTTTTTCATTGATTATTCGAGGACATCCATCCCTCCAAGGGTACTAAATGTTGCTTATTCCTAGAAAAATGTTGGGGAACAATGCTGCTTAGTATTCGCAGCATGTTTAGCTTTTCGTAGCATGTTGCTTGTCCATACAAATTATGTTGCCAACGGAAAAATACGTAAGTATTGATGGAACATAAGTGGGGATGCAATAAAGACTCATTGGTGCGATGAAAATTCCCATGTTGCGAGAGAGAAATATCCCTTCAAAAGAGAGAAACAATTTCCTACGGAAAAGAGAGAACGTCCTCGAGGGATATTTGAAAAACATACGAATGGGAGTTTGGATATCTTATATTATTGAATATTTTTAACAAATTGAATTTAGTAGGCCGATGAAATTCATTATATATACCAGACATTTTTTGTGTTATTTAATCGCTACAGCGAAATTGGTTGTTAATTTATGCTGAATATTAGAAAACAAATGTTACTGAAAATTTTGAACTCAAAAAAGAGTTGTTTGCCGAATGCAATCGTCGGCTGGTGCTATAGATGGAAATGTGACAGTGGACTTATCGATAAAATATACCGACGTACCATTTAATTTTCAAAATATATCGCAAAGATACCGTACATCTAAAACAATTTTCCTCGACTTTTATCTTCTGTTGAATATTACTAACTAGTTAGAATTCTCAGCAATAAAACTATCATTTTATCTAATTTATCAATCATTTTTCAACAAGATTGGCTGATTTTCATGACTTACATATGTTGGGTTGATTCTTTGATATATATTAAAATTCACTTCTACATGCTGCTCTTAAACATATCGATCTAGATACATTCTCGGTATCTATAGTCGGCAAAAACCCTCGCAAATATACCGCAAAATACACGGAGGAAAAACAGGTTGGCAGCATTTGGCAATTGCATAAACAAACGGGGCAAATTTTACAAAATGATTCAAAACCAGTTACGCGCCACACTGTGGATCTTTGGAAACGGTTGCTTGAGCACATCCAAAGCTGACTGAATCTCGGCTGCCGGTGGCAGTTGCAATTCAGTTCGTGGCACGCTGCGGCGCGAGGCAGCCGCCGTAAATTGTTCAATCAATCGACCACTCGTCGAGAGCATAGCCCGCTGAATATAATGCTAGACTTGCCCATTTCCAAGCAATTGAAGATTTGCCAAACAAATTAACACGCTAATGCAAATTGGCTTGACACTATGACGAATGTCGTATCAAGCAGCGCATCCGCGGACAGAGGCGGGCCTGAATCGTGTAAGTGTAAATAAAGTGGAATGGGGCCGGCTCGCCGAAGAAACTTTCTCTCTTGGCACTTGATGGCTTTTGTTTGTTTTCGGCTACGCTGTAATATTCGACTGGTCTTAAGCTTGTTATTCCGTCTGCGTTGTCTTTCCAGCGGCCAGTGGGAAAATGCATTCAGCGCAGACCCCCAAAGATGGGCATAACGAGGCCGAGGCGGAGCAGTATCTGGAGCACCTGCTGAAGGACGGCAGCCAGGAGGGCGACAGCGGGTCCGAGTTGGAGCTGCCGCCATGGTACGATGAGCAGCTGTTCAAGCGGTAAGTTAATTAGTTAGTTAGTTGCACGCAATTGTTACGTTCATGCAATTGTTTTGTAATTGCCATTTCGGGTTATTGCAGCGCTCAAGGCTACTACAGCACGTATCGGTTCGTTATGAACGCGGGGATGCTGGCAGGACTGATTGCCGTTCTAGCCGTACCCTCCATACTCCGAGTTCTTGCCTGCACTCGACAATCGTCGACTGCATTCACAGCGTATCGACGCTATGTGCGCACCATGTTCCACACCCAGGCCTGGTACAACAATGGCGTGGCGGACAGAAAGAGCAAGTTCTGGACGAGTATCGCGGCTGTTAGGCAAGCCCATACCCGGTCTAGTCATGCGTGTGCGAGGCGTGGCGCAGGGCAAATAACTCAGAAGGACCTGGCCCTGACGCAATTCGGATTCATTGGCTTTATAACCCTGGGAGCGCATCGCATACAGCTGTGCGATAATGATTTCCTCGAGGCCACCACGCATATGTGGCGAGTCCTGGGCTACTTGCTGGGCATCAAGGATGAGTACAACATTTGCGGCCGCAATTGGGCCGAGTCCAAGTCCCGCCTGGACATTGTGATGCGAAAAGTGTACGAGCCAGCGCTGGAGCACACCACAGAGGAGTTTTATCGCATGACAGAGGCTCTCATTCACGGCCTGTGGCACGTCAACACAATGCTCTCTGTGGAGGCCAACATCTTCTTCACCAAGCGACTGGCCTGCGTGCAGGGCTACCAGTACTACAGCTTCGATCATCGTGCCGGGGAGCAGCGGGATCCGCAGCAGAGATTGCACTACCGCGACTTGAAGCTATGGGATCGGCTGATTGTCGGCTACGGGCTGTTCATTGTCACCTTTCTGCACAAGTATGCCATTGTGCGGTGGTATTTGAACTTTCGCGTGTGGCTGGTGGATCTGCTCACGTACTACTTGCCCTACGTTGCCATTTGGAAGTTTGGCCTGAAGTCCGCCTACGTGCGAATCTTTCGTACGAGCGGGGAGGCACAGGAGTTTAGTTTGGGTTTCAAAGATGATTAGTCAAGTGTTTTTTCTTTTTTGTTGGTGTCCATTAGTTGTTAGCTAAATTATAAATAAATACAGCCACAATATTATTATAGTCACATGGGAAACATAACAATTCTGTTTTATCTTTTATTTATATGGATATTTATTCCACAGTTCATTAACTTTGTTTTCAATGCTCCACCAGAATTCCTTCCGCCATAAATGACCTGCATTTTTTAAATTAATCTCATTTCCAGATTAATTGAAGTTCATTGACCCTATTTTGAACTTTGCGGCCTATTTTACCAGTGCTGTGTTACGCTTTTCAGGCAATCGAATTTTTAATGCAAAATTGAAATACAAATTTGTAAAATATATATTAATAAGGTATACAATTCAATAAAGAGGAGTGCTTATAATGAGCCAAATTGATTCTTCAATCGAATGAAACTATTTTTTCAGTGTTAAAAGTCTTTGCAAGCTGGTAAAATCAAATGAAACATCAAAATCGAGAAATATGATTTAAGACGGTATTATTAGGGTATATATTTAAAATGAGATGGTAAATGTTGTTATATTTTTGAGGGTCAGACGGAATATTTTATCGATAGTTGCGCGGTCACACTGATTTCTGTATCTAGCACCAGCTAGGGTAGTCAAATATTTAAAAAAATATCATATCGGTGATTTATTTTTCTTGGAAAAAATATCAATATAATATAAAATATATCACTGCAAAAATATCCAAATATTTGCTAAAATTCAACTCCGCACCCATAAAGAAAACAGAAACCTTAATGATGTTGTTAACATCATTAATCCGTATTCCACTCTTCTGTGTTTTTAATTTGACTTACTCTACTATTCTTCGCTCTAAACACATAATTCTTTTGAGTAAGTGTTTATGGGTTTTGGTTCAAAACACCCACTGACTTGTTCACAGTACCAAATGATCCTCCAGATCATATGTATATCTCGCACACCTTAAAAAAAACCATCACTGCTGCAAAAATTTCAATTTCCTATTTTTCTAGAAAACTCTGAAAAACAATTCGTCTGTGGAGGTCTTTTCCGTTGGCATGTGATATTTTGGAAAAAATCACGATATAAATGTATTTTTATTTTAAAAAACTATCGATATATTGACATTTTGTTATATATTTGACAACCCTACTTGCAAGAATGACTAATTTGTCAGTTTTTATTTAGTTTTTACCCATGCCTAGCTAATTACACACTAAAACACAGCACAAGAAGAGTTAAGTTTACGTTGGAGACGCGAGCGGGATAAAAGAAATAGGCAAGATGAAGAGGCAATTCGCGAAGATTAAAATTGCAGCAGAAAATTTATCAAGGTAAGTTCAAAGGCCAGAGACGACAGACAGAAGGGGAGGCAGGGCAGCGTCGCCGACGGCTACTTATGTAGATGTGTACATATGTGTGTGGCACCTCAGTTCTCCAGACAAACAGCCTGCTAGCCAGCAGGTGTTGCCTCATCACAACAAACACGAATGTAACAACAAAAACCTGAGACTCCAATGCCAAAATAAAGCGCAGCGTTTACACTTACGTCGTCGATGTCGATGTTGATGTTGTTGCCTCCAAGTGGGCGCTCATGTCAGCTGCTACTGATGACCTAACGGCATATTTCCATTCTTTTTTCTTTTGTGCTCCGCCAACAGATCAACAAAATCAGACTGCAAAGATACAGAGCTTGAGACGATCGAGAAGCAGGTGGACCGATATCGTGATACCATTGAGAAAATTGTGCGTAAATTGCCAGCACTGAGCAGCAGTGGGAGTAGCAGCAGCAGCAGCAGCAATGGCCAGGTATCCACCGAGGAGCAGGACAAGCGGACCAAGAAGAACAGTCACTATAAGATTGCCCAGGCCCTGGATGAGTCCGCCAAGGAGTTGCCCAAGGATATGCCCCTGCAGAAGGTCTTGGCCAATTGTGGTTAGTTACTGTTCCGCCCTTACCCAAGTGTCTATTGTTGTTCTTGTTGTTGTGCCGTGATTGTGATAAGAGCCCCGCCGGCGGGTGCACAGTGGTACGCATTCAATTTTGATAATCGTCTGAAAAGCGCATATGCAAAAGCAGAGTAGAGTGGAAATTCCTATGGATGAATGACTGTGTCACGGGCTTGCGTGCTCCCCAGTTCCGCTTGTGTTTGTGTGCGCCTCTGTGTGTGTTTGCGGCCTCGCCTTGTCTGCGCTTGGCCTTGTGGCATTTACATACATTTCTCAACATTTAGCGTCGTTTTTTGTGATATACACTCACTCAACTGTGAGCTTTGCTGTGCTGTGGCTTGCGCGTTTTTTAATCATTATAATAATTCGTATTATGACTGTTTTTTGTTGTTGTTTGCGGTTTGCCTATATCTATTTATATACAATATTTGTTGTTGCCTTTCGATTGGCCATACATTTATTGTTTATTGTATTTCGCCCCCACTCCGCACGGCTGTCCATGCCAGGCCCTCTTCCTAACCGATTTATTGTGCATTTCATTTAAATTTGTTACACATCGCAGCGACCCGGTAAAAGTAAATTGGCAATAATTATGTATAGTGTGCGCCTGGCCTGGCATGGCCAGAAAAAAGTAAAAGTTACGCCAGATATTCATCCATACATCATCGTCATAATCGGCCACAATCTGCTTTGCTCTTCATTTATTATATGTACAACATATGCGGGGCGCACCGCTCCCCCTTTTGCTATTACTCATTTTCGTTTGCTGTTTTGTTTTTTTTTTTGTGTGTGTGTATTTAACATTCCACATATTCGCAGATGCGTGTGTGTGTTCTGCGTCAATTGCAATTTTGTTGCAGTTGCAGCCAAAGAAGGAGGCAGCAACGAGAGTCTGCTGCAGCTGTAACCCCTTATAGTGGTTCAAGTGCAATTTCTGGTTGTATAATTCACTGGAAGGGATACAGCAACACCTCATCACACACCACACACCACATAGCCTTTGTTTTCCACATAAAGTTCATGATTAGACACGCACGTTCCATACGTCCATACGTCCATACGTGTTTGGGTTGATGTGTGGTGTGGTGGGGCGTGGAGTCCGTGCTTGGAACGCGATGGGAATTATTAGTGGTTTAATCAAGGGAAATCGATTCCAAAGTGGTTCAGAGTGAATCAAGTTAATTTCCCATCGTTACAATGCTGGTTACAGAGATTTAGTGCCCTGCCCTGCCCTGCATGGCATTTATAAGCATTATCCGTGGTTAATCCATTTCAAAGTAATACAAATTGAGCAAAGGGAAGAGAAATTACATAATTGTGGAGTGGTAGCTGTTAGCTTTTGAACATCTTCAAGGCAATCCATTAAAAAGTGATGCTAATTTTGCAAATCTTCAAAATGCATTAATAATGCTTTAAGTTGAACAAATTGAATTGTATTTGGTTCATTAATCCATATGAATAGTTTCATATCCCAAAAACATCGATTTGTAAACTGAAATTCGATATTCCCTTTATCAAATTTGACTCTCTTTTCACACAGTTCGACCCACTGTGCTGAGTGGCACCCTTTTGCAACTTTATTGTTGGCCACGATGCGCTTCAATTCAACTGAACTGCCGCTCACAGTCACCGTCTCGGTGCCTCACACACATTGGGGGGGAACCAGCACAAAGCGAGCGAATCTATCTTAAATGTTATACTCCAGTGCCGCTGTCGTCTTCGGTCTTCGGTCTACGGTCTCCGTGTCGACCTCTTTCCCTCTATAATGGGTTCGGTTCAGCCGTGCCGCTAAGCCTCTGGGTTGCCTGCCGCCGGGGCACTCAACACAATTATCACAATTTTGCTTACTCAGCTCGCTCGTCAACCCACGAGTATTCGCTGCCTGTCACCTCCCCCAAAATAGGATGGGGGAGCACCACACAACTCCCCCACTGGCAGTGGCGTTGGAAACCGGCATCTAGCACGCCAACGTCTTGGTCGGTGCTACCACTCTGCGATAAGGTCTTCAAATAAGCATTGACTTCCTCACTTGCGAACAAGCGACAAGAGATGGAGGCGAGACTAGCCCCGCCATCTCCACTCACAGCACTCCAGCAAAGTTCCCTCGAAGTGGGAGCTTTGCATCATCTAGCTAGCAGATTGTGTATTGTTGTCATGGTAGATACTTATTTTTCGTGGGTATTTCGCAATTGCAGGGGAGCTGGAGAAGACAATCGCCGAGTGCATCATCGAGAGCGAACTGGAGACGGAGACCAAGGTGGTGAGGCGTTTAAAAAACATCTTGGATAAGGAAATACAAGAGATCTCAACGTTAAAGCGTAATGTGTCGCGCACATTACAGGAATACACTTCACTGAAGCGCAGCCATGAGGTAAGTTTTTAATATATTTTGTTTACGTTCATAAGTCTAACTCTCCATTAACTGCGATTAACAAACACTCTTGGGGGTTACGCTGCTCGAGAGCGAGAGAGAGAGAGTGATGAATAATGCTTTTTACCCACTTTCCCGAGTGAGATGGCAATGGGAGATTATTAAATTAATTAAGAAATTCAGTATGGAAATAATGAGCAAGCAAAAGTTACCACTGGCTCGGTTGGTCTTTCGGTTGGTCAAGTGTTCGGCTGCCACCGAACGATCCATTCGTTGTCTCTGATTAACGACAAACACCGACCGGCAGAAGAACATCAATATTATTTAAACAACTGCCGCCGGTAGTGGCCGCCATGTGTATCTCAATCTCCACAAGGAGATCCGTTCCGATCCATCAGTGGTTGCACAGTGGGTTGTTGGTTGATTGTTTACCGAATTTGTACAACAAACAAGAAACAAGAAGTCATTTCCCACACGATAATGAGAGTTCTCAGAATGAAAGAAGTGGTTGATAAGCGCTCAACTAGAATGAGACTAGGAATAATTTCGCAGAATAATTATTCATAGATTGTAATCAATGAAAGAAGCTACGACAGTGAAGGTTGTGCAAGCTGACAGTTTTTCGGTACTTCCCTCTTGTCATTAAGCCTTATATTAATTTTCATAAACCATTTCTTGGTATACATTTTAATATTTCTTCCTAAATCCACTAACAGTGGACCCCTCCTTTCTCTTGCATAATTTTTGCTGATTTCCTCATCAGAATGGAACCACTGTACCATCAGCGGATGCCAAGATACCAAGTCTGCGGCGCCCAAGAAGCAATCAATTTTTAATTTCAGTTTATTGTTGCTTTTGTTGTGGGGCTCTCTTTTGCTCTTTCTTTCTCTCGTACGCTCGTTCTTTCTTTATCTCACGTCAGGTTCTATTGTTATTTGTTGTGCCATGCGTTTCATTCGACAAAAGTCGTCGTCCGCTTACGTATACGCATACATAAAGATGTTATATGTGTGTATTGTCGCTTAGGTTTTAATACTCTATCAAAAGGTATAATGATTATAGTGAGACATGGAACAGATTAAACATTTGTATTTGAATTTATGTCTCTCTTGTCCTATGAAGCAAATGTGTGTCATTTTGCTTATGGGAAATATAAACAGTGAAATTTGTACTGCAAAATGTTATCCCTTCCTGAATATTCAGTGTATCTCAAACTTCGTTGCCATATATTAAATTCTTTTCAGTACTTTTATGATATGATTTTGATTGTTGTCGGGGTCGTTTTCTTTCGTTATTGCCTTTATCGCGGGCTATTGTGCCTCTGAATGGAAATGGGCATAGGGAGGAGTAGGAGGAGTGTTATATGTGTTGAAAGTAGAATGAACTGAACGGCTTTTTGGTGTTCTGTTCCAATTTCTTGACATACGATTGGTTCTGCACTTGCGGGGTGAGGGAACACGTCAAGTTTGGGCCACCAAACGGTTACATTTTGTAGGCAACAGCAAACAGCAAACAGCAAACGAAAAGAAAGAAGTCACTTGACAAATTCTGAGTTTTACGAGTAATTTGTCATTGTTTTTGCTTGCCACTTTTTTGTTGCTTTCCGTTTTACTTTTCGAACAATCACGACGGACATATATTCCATATAAAGATACACGTCGGGGATGACTAGTCGCTGTCTGTCTGATGTTTGTTGTCTGTTTAAGGTGTCGGAAGACGTTCATTGACATGCCTTGGCAGCCCCCCCCTCTTTGGCAGTAGTGTGACATCATAATCGGAATTGAAATTGAGGCAACACACAATGGATGACCATTGGATCATCAGAATGGACGGCTTGTCGTATCATAAAAATTTTGAGACGCAAGTTATTTATTTACACAGAACGCAGCCCGATAATCTTATCGCCAGTGGAAACAGACCCATTTACTTATAAGATGTGTATTGTATGGTTTTTGCCACAATTTGCTAATCACAAGTTGCTGCTTTCCGTCTCACCACCTCTGCCCACCGCCTTGGGTGGCTTTCTGGGTTCTAATTGCATTCTCTGACATGAACCGATACACACACACAATACTCGTTGTTGCCTTTTTGCAAGTGTTAACTTTGGTGTCTGGAATGTGTGTACTACTATTCTCGTATATGTAATGCCATGCCAATGGGAATCCAACGCTCATGTAGGTCATTGAGAGGTTGAACATTGGTACTTGATGATGTGACTCACAGAGTCTCACGTTAGCTACTCTACCCCCATGATGCTCCGCAGACACAGAGAGACATTATTCATAATTAGATGAGTTCCATTGTCTATGGCAGAGATAGATAAAGCCATTTGTCACGTTTTCTGTTTATTTATAGAATAATTATCGCTGCAAAAAGGGCGATGAATGCATAAATTGCATAAAATGAAATAGGGAATAAACATAATATAGATATAGATATATATGCCATAGGTGTACTCTTTCCCTTTAATTTCACACTTCATTTAACCCTAGATCAATTGCATTTCTTATCGTGCCAACAACTGTTCCTTCTTTATGAGTCAGAGAAGGAGTGGAAGTGGGTGTCAAAGCCACCTTAGTCAGTGTTTCCGTATATGAGGACATACCCGTATGTTGCAATATCGAACGCCTGCTTCTGGCCCATTCCCCTTTGTGTTTGAAAAAACAACAAAGGCCTTGATACGCAGCTGGGATGGGATATTCGCGGTTGAGGTCGGGTTCTATTTATACACAGACCCTCTCTCTGGCATCTCTCCGCTTAGTCATGCAGCTGTCTGGTTGCATGCGAAACTATTTCCAGTTTTGTGAGTGTGTGCGGAGGGCTCTGCAGATAAGAGAAATTTTCAAACTTGAACTTTGGAGGCACATGGGAATGTGACGATTGGTTCCGTTCGCTGCGCTTATCAGTAAAAAAGGAAAAGAGCGACACAAACACTAAACAGTTCACACATTTTTGAAACTATTTCCCTTTAGGCGGCCATACGTCTGGACGAGCCGGCGTCAAAAGTGAACCACATCAAGAGCCAGCAGGAGGAGTGCGAACTGAAGCTGGAGAAGGAGCGCGATGCCTGGGCTGCGCAGATGCTGGAACTGATTGCCAAAGAGGATGAGATTGTCAATTGCATACGGGACTATGTGCTCAACCAAAGAAATTATCACGAGCGGGCTTTGCAGCACGTGAATGCCTCGCTGGCCCGCATCCAGGACACCATTCAGGCGACGGAGAAGTCACGCTTTGGCACCTCCCTCAAGGAGCACCTGACGTCGACGCATCGGGAGATTTCCTACATCGTGGAGCTCTGCTGTTGCTGCCTGCTCGAGAATGGGCTGGAGGAGGAGGGTCTGCTCCGTGTGGGCTGTGCGAGCACCAAGCTGAGGCGGATGAAGCACGCGCTGGAGGCGCAGCATGTGAAGACACCGCTGCCGCTGGACTACCAGGATCCCCATGTCATTGGCTCCATACTCAAGCTCTATTTGCGCGAACTGCCCGAGCCGCTGCTCACCTACAATCTGTACAAGGACTTTATACGGATCGCAGAGCGTCACACGGAGAACGAACGGAAGACAGAGATCAAGGCTATACTGGGGAAGCTGCCCAAGGAGAACTATGCCAATCTGCGCTACCTCACCCGCTTCCTGGCCCTCGTGCAGCAGCGTTCGGTTCACAACAAGATGAGCTCACAGAACCTGGCGATTGTCATGTCCCCGAACATGCTGTGGCCCCGCATCGACAAGAGCAGCAATGCCCAGGCCGACTACATTGGGCAGGTGAACAGCTCGTCGGCGGCCAACATAATTGTGGAGCTGCTGATCAGCCAGTGGGATTACTTCTTCACCGGCGACGTCGAGTTCTATGTGACGCTGCAGCGGCAGAAGCTCTTTGTGGAGGGCAAGAGCAAATCGAACTCCTCCAACGAGAACCTGGACAAGCATGACAATGGTAAGTGGCATGCGGCGAGAGTAAGCAAAGCCTTTAACTTAAGGAACTATTCCCTTCACAGAAGTCATGGAGAGTCCCCGCTATGGCACGTTACGCCGCCAGAAACCGAATGCTCCTTCGCCGCCCAGCACAAATGGGAACAGCACGATCATGACAACATCACAAACGCCCCAACGGCCACATGCCAAGGAGCTGTTCCCCCAACAAACACCACAGCAGGAGAAGCCTGCCAAGCCGCCGTTGCCCAATTTGCCGCAGTTCCAAGTGCCACCAGCCCCCGCCCCAGCCGCCGCGAACCTGCCAACCAACACACAGCTAGAAGCTTTGCCGCCACCACCTGTGACGCCCGCCAAGCCGGTACCCATGACACGGACTCAGTTCTTTGGCCTGGACAATTTGCCCTCGCCCACGGCGGACCGCAGGAGCACGGACAGCATTGGCAGCTTCAAGCTGAAGCCGGATGTGCCCCAGAAGCCGCTGCTGCCCAAGCGGCCGGCAGTGCTGGGCGTGGGACCAGCAGCAGCCAGGCACGAGGGCAAGAGCGACGATGAGGGTGCCACCACGCCCACGCAGGCAACAATTGATAATGGCAATGGCAGTGTACGCTACAAAACGGAGCATTTTCTTGAGAAACTAAAGCAGGAGAATTGTGATACAAATGGAACGAGGGAGGAAGCACCACCATCAGCATCCAAGGAGAACCACAACCATAACCATGAACAGAACTCGACTGCAGTGGTCGAGTCACAGCAACAGCAGCAGCAGCCCTTGCAACAGCAGTCGCAGGAAAAGGCAACGACACCCATTTCGCCCAACTCATTTCAAACGCCGAAAAGGCCAACGGTGCCAGCGCCGCCGCCTCCCACAAATCGCAAGCCATCGGAATAAAAAGAGCAGGCCAGGCAGATAGCGATGGGATGCCGTTTGGGAGAAGGAAAGAGGGGAGTCAGTCATTAGGTGTTACTGTTTACTCGTTAAGACTTGAACGCACAGTAATATATATTTAATATTATATATGCTATACTATACGATATAATTTATATACAAAACAATCCTTGCGGCAACGTAAGAGACAGACCTTTGTGCATTATTGAGGAGAGATATTAGAGAAGCTCTTGTGTATTCTGCATTTGTATTTTTGCCTTGTCCATAAGCAATCTAATTTGTATGTGTTTAGCCATATAACTATATATTATATCGAGCGATATCCATTTATATACTGTATAGTGCGTAGAGTGTAGGCCCCCATACCATAACTCAATTGTCGAAATTTAATTTGAAATGTTAGCCCCCTCTCCCCAATCAATCGTGGAGATTGTTAATCCTTGTTTGAAAGGTTGTGATACATCATCTGAATGGTTTGTGTTTCCTTAATTTTTGCATTTTATATTTTCATTTTGTTTCCTTTTTCATTTTTTTGCTCCAACGAAAGACAATTTCCATTGTGATTATTTGTTTAAATATTTGAATTAGTTTCCAAGAAAAATATTGTTGCTTCCGCTGCATTAATTTTTAGTTATTCCAAATTACATTTGAAAACATTTCCTCAAAGTTATGAAAACTATCAAGTTTGATTTATGAATGTACTATATATAATTTGTATTCTTTTTGCTTTATTAATTTGTAATGCAATTATTATTATTTTTATTTTATAATAAAATTATGTATTATGAATTGTTGTGTATATAAAATATACATTAAAAAGATAATGAATATGATTTTTAAGACACTGTTTTTGTTTTTACCATTTATGTCTCTGTTTGGTTATGATCCCCGCCGCCCATTGGCATTGATGTTCGGGCGAAATTGTAGGTCTATTGTAGTAGAATTTAGGAATGTGAATGTGAAAACTCTTATGAACATGGAAAACTTTGGATAAATCACATACTTACCTCGGTGAAATCAAAACAAAATTATTGCAATTGTAAACACAACTTGGAAAATGATATTTCAAATGCTTTATTTGACAGGTTTCTGTTCTTGGAGATGGAGTCACCCACTTATTGTGCCATATTGTGAAGAATACCTGAAATACAAGAGTTATAGAAAGCACCCTAACATATAAGGCTTGCTCTATACCTTTATACCTTTGCTATATATCCATCATATCTCTCAAGTTTAGTACCCCCCAAAACAAACTCTTGCTATATTTTCACACGCTGCTGCACCTTGTTGGAGTGAGAGCTTACTAAATGGAGAGTGCAATCAGTAAGAAACAGACCAAATATATGTACTTACCATATGTATATTCCATGATATTTGTAGAGTTTCGTATGTTTGTACGATTTTGTGGATAGGTTAGTAAGTGGGTAAAGAAATTAAATGTTGAAAACTACAAAATATATTCTGCTACCAATTAAAAATAAAAAATCCCAGAAACTCCCATTTGGAGCACACAATTGCTGCGATTGTTGTATTTTATTTTAAACTACCAAATAAATACATTAATTAGCTAAGTTAGCTAACTTATAGAACTACTGAGACAGGCATCATAGGCAGTCAGCGTACCAGTGATCTCAAGGAAACGCAGCAGAGTTTGCGAGTATTCTTTGCTGAGTGGAGCTGTCTGTGCACCAGTGGCTACCATCTGACCCGCTCTCGACTCACTGGGTGTCTCCAGTTCCCTCACATAATCCATAAAGTTATCCACATTGATGGGCACTTCTGCCTTGGGTTTGGGTGCGGCATTCGCCTGCAGTTTGCGATTGAATTCGCTGCGATAGTAGTCGTTGATCATGGACATCATGCCCTTGGAGTACCAATAGATGATGCCTATCAATAGCATACCCTGCACAAAGGGTCCAACCATATTGTAGACTTTGATTTAGACTTTTCTACTGAGTATTTCTGAGCATCTACATGCGATTATCTTCGCGGAGGGTCTCCAACCAATGGTTAATCATGTAGAACTGCTCCTTGATGTGGGGCCAGGCCATGGTGACAATCAACATAATTGTATTGGCAAAGACAAACAGTTTCATCATTTCAAATGCTAAGGGGAGGAAGAGAGGGAATAGCTCTGATGATTATTTATGAAAGGAAAATCATTTAAATACCCTCCGGTGTGCGTAGATAGTCGCCGAATCCGGAATTTAAATCCTTGTCCTCTTCCTCCTTTAGTTCTTGCTTTTCCGGGTGCTCTCGGGACTTGCCTTTGCCACCGCCCTCGGCCTTGTCCTTGCCGAACTGTCCCTGGCCGTGTCCCTGTCCGTGTCCGTGACCCTTGGCGCCGTGTCCGCTGTGCTTGTGCCTGCCGTAGCCCGTCGAAGTGTTGGCAAAGGCAAATTTCTTCGATTTCATTGCATCCACCTCAGAGCAGTTTTGGTCAGCCGCCAAGAGCTGCGCTTCGGGTCGGTCCTATCGCGACAAATGCTGCTCGAACAGTGACACTTTTATTCTGTGGCTCATTCCGCGGCTCGTCAGCCAATTCCCCTTGGCTCTGTGGGCTGGCCATTTTATGGTTTCCATTTTATTGATTTGCGATTTTAGCTTGTCGCTGTGCCACAAAGGAGAGGAAGATTGGGCACAGGGATGGGGATGGGGATGGGGATGGGGATGGGTATGGGGAATGTGGCAGGTGGCAAATAGAAATATGCCGTTAGTGGAGCAATGCGCTTGGATATTCGGCATGTGTGCTTATTATATATGTGTGCCAGCTTAGTGGATGAATGTGTTTAGCGACAGTCTGTTATGGTGGTGGAGCCGGCTGTGGTCGAACATTGGTTTGAAATGTGTTTGAATTTAGCTGAGAAATAGAAATAGAAACAGTAGTTCTATGGGAGAATAAATTAGGTTTACTTTTTGTACGTATTTAAAATTGTATGAACAGAAATCTACGGCAGGTGAGTGCTTAAATTTTAATTTGTATTCTTGATTAAACAAAAAATATTATAATTTATTTAAATTAAATTAATTTCATAAATTCGCAAGCTTAGGAACTTCTTGAATGTTTCTACTAAATCGAAATTTAAATCTTTGTGGAGAGATCACAATTCGGCCGGACCCGCCTTCCGTGTAATATATTGACCAGAGAACTAGTTTTCCACTTGCTTGTGGATCTACTAATACGAGAAATACTCAATATAATTTACTAATATAATTTAAAATAAATTCTTCAATTCGACAGCTTAGGAATTTCTTCAGATTTATATAAAATCATAATTTCATATTCTTTTTACCACTAAATGTCCTTGAAATATATTTAACTTTTCTTTACTTATCAACTGATATAAAAGATATTGACGATAAGACCCAAATCACTCTTCAGCAAACGTTTTATCGTGTTTAAATTCGCATATTGACGTTCATTATTTTTTGGTTATAGTAAATACTTCGCTAAAACACTAACAAATAGTAAAACTAAAATAACAACAAGCCTTCAGGCTTATAAAATTAGATTATGGCAACCGTTTCCAGCACGTTGCTGCCCCTTCTTCAGTGCTTGTTCCCGTTGCGGAGTGACCAGGCAACAGGTGCAGAGGCCACCCAGTATGACCAGCATGCAAAAGGAGGTCAAGGAGAATGCTACGCTGACCTCTCTGAGCATAGTGAGCAGGGAGGCGGAGAGCTGCCATACCCTGGCCCAGGTGTGAGCAGAGAAGGCGAACTGGGTGCGGTGCTCGGGCGGCACTAGTTCACCCATGCCGGCCAGGATCATGGACTGGCCACAGGAGACAGCTACCTTGGGCAGCGTGCTCAAGAACAGCCACAAAGACATCTCGTAAGCTTCAGGCATATCCACACCGCTGAAGAACCAGCAGAGGCAGCCAATGCAACCTCCGAAGATGCAGAAGCCTCCTGTCCACTGCCACTTGCGAGGGTTGTGGTGGAACGTCAGGTACATGGCCAGAAAGCAGCCCAAAATCTCAGCCAAACCCATGGCCATGGTGTTCAGTAGCAGGTGTTCCCTGCCAAAGGCTCGAATGTTGAGCAGCAGACCCACATGAACCACCAGAAATGCTGCCAGAGCCATGTGCACAGCCACCATGTGGATTGTGGTGCGGCTGTGCCCTCGCCAGAGGTCCAGCCAGCAGACAGGCGAAGACTGCGCCAGCAACCGCTCCCTGAGCAACTCCAGCTGATGGGGCAAATCCTTGGGGACATGGAACCAATGGCCATTGATGCGGGCGGCCTCGAGCACGAGCTCCACAGTCCCATCGATGGCTGTCTGGGAGTCCTTTGTGTGCTGGAGCATCCAACGCGGTGAGTCCGGCGTCCATGGCAGCAGGAAGATAATTACCAACAAGGGCAGGCTAATCTCCAAGTAAATATGACGCCAGCTGTGAGCAAAGGAGGCCATGCCAGGCAGAAGGATCAAACCCAAGGCCCAGAAGGTATCGTAGAGGAGCAGGGCAGCCCGACGATGCTTGCCCGCTGTGATGTCGCTGACTGTGGAAGGGGAATAATTATTATACGAAACATTCTCCGATATCCTAAGGGGCACTCACATATGGCCTCTCCCGAGGTAACCATGAAGGAGCAGGCAACAGCCGCCAGACAGCGCAGGGCACAGTGCAGACTGAAATCATTCACCAGAACCGTCATCAGGCCACAGCCGAGGAGCGACCAAATGCCCGTCACGTAGATCTGCCGTGGACTCAGCACCGGCAGCAGCTTGGTGGCCACCACTCCGCCCATGAAGAAGCCAAAGAGATGCCAGTACTGCGACCAGGCCACAAAGATGTCGCTCAGGCAGGCCAAATCGAACTCCATGACGAGGGAGTGGAAGCTCATCGGGCTGTAGTGGAACTGGTGGCAGCGGTGCATGGCATAGCCAGAGTCTCCATGGCTGACCATCACATAACACTGGTCCACAGAGACGGAGCTATTATCAGCGCCCACAAATGGACTCGTATCGCAGCTGTACTCCTCCTCCGGGTAGAGGTCGGGGGCTGTGAACAGAATGCTGGCCATGAACCAGGCGGCGGGTATCTTGCACAGGAACACGATGAGCATCGAGCGGAGTTGCCACAGTCCAAAGTCGCCCAGCAAGTGTCCAATGACATCTGTGGATGTATCTCCGGTCAGAGTTGGAGTAGCCGGCTCATTGGCCTCCGGATCGGTGCAGGTGAAGATGTGTGAGTATTGGCCCAGAGCCTGGGGCGTGGGTGAGTGGCGTCGCACCTTTGGCGTCCAGCCAGTGGGGCTGCAGGGGGATAACTCCGGCATCCTTAGCTAGCTTTGAAATTTAGTAACCACGTCTTGAGAGCGACAACCCTCCAGCATGACTGCGACTTCGCTTAGCACCTCAGTCGGCCAGGTAAGCTCGAGGGCTTCGAATCTGTGCCGGCCTCCGATGTCGTCGCTAATCAAATCAAAACGCAAATAAGCGCCAAAAAATGTTCCTAAATGATGGTGCAAACATTTCAACTGGCAGCGAGGGAACGATCTATTTTGCGATCTGCGCATCGCACCGGGCAGCAGACTTTCCACAGCGACTGTGTGTGCAGACAGCAGGTGATGTGGTTGGATGTGATTATAGCTAATCAATTGGTTAAGTCAATCAATAGCCAGATAATCGGATTATGGTTCATGGAAACCTTTTTATACGATGTCTTATTGATAAATAAAGGTGGAGAAAATATGTATTTTCTATATAGTTTACACTGGTCGACACAATAAAACTTTGATAATTAGTTTCTACTTGAAAAAGTGTCTTTCTTTGAGAACAGGAGGCGGCAGAACAATGAAGAAATACATGGAATAAAAGGTAGTCTCACACATTTTATCATGACTTTATTCGCACATGTTTTTTTACATCTATAAGTATTTTATACCAGCATTTAATTATCCGTTTCCTCAATGGGGTTTTCCTTAATTAATTTCTGAAAAAACTCAAACGGCCAGAGACTATCTTCATATCTTAACTTCTTGAATAAACCTTCCATGTGCCACTTCATGAATGAACTCTGATGTTTATCATGAATAAATATATCCTTCTACGTATGTACATATATTCCTAGATAAAGGGAAATCTATAGTAACTTGTCGTATCTCCAAATGGACCTCCCAACCTTGCACTGCATTTATTTTATTTAAATCTGGAGCGCAGTTCTGATCGTGAACCGCAGCCAGAGCCAGCCATGTCCAGAAATGCACATCCACAAATCCATCTGTGATGTAATAATATATTTTTGTGAGCAAGTGTTACGTCGGAAACTGTTTACGTTTACTTTCGTTGGAAAATGGCATTTTCTCGCATTTGCGATTTCATGGAAAAAACTTGTTTCTGGAGGACCAAAACAAGCCAGGCCAAAGCTTTGCTTTTCTTTCCCAAAGCCAGTTGGTGTTGGTTGGAAAGTGAGTGAGTGTCGCCCCAGTCAGTTGCAGTTGTGGCTTCCAAGTGGCCGCATCATGGAAAAGACTAAAGTGGAAAACCCAATGGATATCTACCACGATTCAGTGATCTTTATAACAGGTAAATGGGCCACAGATCTCTCTGCCTCTCCATGGATAACTCAATAATATGATGCAGGAGCCACGGGCTTTGTGGGCAAGACACTGCTGGAGAAGCTGCTCTGGAGTTTTCCACAAATCAAGCGGATCTACATGCTGATCCGACCCAAGGGCGGTGTCAGCGTCAAGCAAAGGTTCCAGGAGTTTCTGCAGAATCGAATCTTCGAGCGACTGCGAGCCGAACATCCGGAGCGACTGAAGAAAATCTTTCATTTCGCTGGCAACATTGAGGACGACAATTTTGGTATGCCTTGGAGTGAAAATCATCTTAAACGACTTTGGCTTTACTTGAGGTGGGGCGGGGTGGGTGCTTTCATCAACAGGTTTGTCAGAGGCGGACAGAGTCAGGTTGTGCGGCGAGGTGAACATTATCTTCCACAGTGCGGCAACGGTAAGTCTCCACATGGAAGTGGCTGCTGCCACAACTGAAATGAGTGATTCGCTTTACAGGTGCGCTTCAATGAGTGCCTCAAGGTGGCAGCGCGTGTCAACTCCCAGGCGACATACAATTTGCTGGAACTCTGCAGAGAAATGACTCAATTGAGGGTAAGTCAATCCATGAATCCATCGATTGATTGATTGATTGCTGATCTTGAGTTCCCACAGAGCTTTTTGTATGTTTCCACGGCCTACTGCAATCCGGGACGCAAATATGTGGACGAGGAAGTGTATCCCACATTGCCGCCAGTGGACTGGCGTCAGTTTCTCACCTGCACTAAGAAAATACCCGAAGACTATCTCAATCAGCTGTCGGACTACATCAAGGGACCGCATGTCAACACCTACACATTCACCAAGTCCATAGCCGAGCAGATTGTCAACGCGTACAAGGATGTGATTCCCATTGTGATTGTGAGACCCTCGATTGTGACGGCCGCCTACCGGGAGCCATATCCCGGCTGGATCGACAACATACAGGCCATCAGTGGCATCATGATGGAGATTGGCAAGGGCGGCATCAGCAGCATATTGGGCGACAAGGATATGATATGCGACATCATACCAGTGGACTTTGTGGTTAATGCGATGATTATGATGATTAACAAGGCAAAGTTGGGCAGGTAAGTGTGGCGGGAAGGTGATCTACTGCAAGCTTTTCAATGCTCTAATCTGTTTTCCCCTTAGTTTAAGCATTTGCAATGCCACATCGGGTGTGACAAATCCCATCACTTGGCAGCATTTGGGGGAGCTAACCATGAAGTGGTCGAGGATCTATCCCACCAAACGTATGATAATGTTCCCAAACTTCAAGTATCGCCGCAGTGCCTGCCAACATGAGTTGGCCGTGTGGATGCTGCACTTTGTGCCCGCCCTGCTAATGGATCTGCGCACACTGCTGCTGTCCCAAAAGAAGCGAATGGTCACGCCCATAGCCAGGAAGTTTCGACAGGCATGTCTGGCAGGTAAATACTCTAAAATTGTACCCAGGAATTCCCCACTTTAATTTGATTTCGCTTTCAGGCAGTTTCTTTTCGCTGAATGAATGGATCTTCAAGAACAAAAGTCGTTATTATTTCAGAGAACAGATTGAGAATGGCACTTTTCCCATGCTCTACTGGAACCTGGAAGATCTCGACTACGATGAATACGTGCGGCGTCACATGATTGGCATTAACAAATATTTGCATCGGGAAAACTTTACTGTGGACTCCAATAAGCTTATGGTAACAAAGTGAGTGCCTCACACAAATATATGCGGAGTTCTCCTCTTGTTTGGGTCCAATGAGTAATACTTTTCCTACGCTGTTTTGCAGGGTCTATTGGGTCTGGATATTTCTTCATTTGTGCTTTTACTTGTTGCTTATCTACGTCATATTTTAGTCAGAAATAAGTGTGTAATTTAAGAGTTTTATGTTTGTAATTACTCAAAAATATCTAGAGTAACAATTCACTTAACCTAATCACAGAAGAATGTTTGTTTCATTAACTGAGTAATACGACACATAGTTTTTTCATCTCCAATTCCATGCTACAATCGTGTATTGTTCACATCCGACTCGATGGTCCACAAGGGTGCATTCAGGGGCGACTGTTCCTTCTTGTCGCACTGCTCCAAGGCCTGTGGCGGCACAACTGGAGCCACGCTTGTCCTGGGCGTGAGTAGCAGACTGGTGCAGATCCCACCCAGAATGCTAAACACACAGTACGAGGTGAGCGACATAGCCGTATCGATTTTCTTGAGTACATTGAAGAATGGAGCCGAGAGGAGCCACACGCGTGCCCAGGTGACGACGGAGAACACAAAGAGTTGTTTCTTATTGGTCGGCATCAGTTCATTCATGCAGGCAAGGATCATGGACTGGGCACAGGAGACAGCCGCCTTCGGAATGGTGGCAATGATCATCCATAAACTGACTTTGAGATCAGCATCCACTAGGGAAGGCGAAAAGTATTAAATTGCAATGTAGAAGGGCGGATTCAGTGCATTTTTACTCTGATCTGCATTGGTAAAGATCCAGCCAAGACAGCCTAGGATGCCGGCAAGTATATTGAACACTCCAGCACACTGCCACTTCCATTTGTTGTGCTTGAGCGTGAAATGAAGGGCCAAGAAGCAGCCAATGATCTCAGAGAATCCTGTCAGTAGAAAGATTATTAATATCAGATCAAAGTCAAAGCTGAACCTCTACCTTACCCATTGCAATGGTATTCGGCACGAGATAATCCCTGCCAAAGGATCGTATATTCAGCAGCATGCCCATAAAGTTAATCACAAAGAAGGCCAACGCCAGATGAGCGGCAATCATGTGGGTCTTGGCCCGCTTTCCCACCCACAACTCCTTCCAGGGAGCTGAAGGCGGTTGGGTCTTGAGTCGCTCGCTGAGTTGGTCCAACTGCTGCCGAAAGTCGGGTGGGATTTTGAAGGTGCGATCGTTGATGGCGGCACCCTCTCGGACAATCTGCTCCACATTGTCGATGGAGAAACGATCTACGGCATGTTTTAGCAGCCAGCGGGGTGAATCAGGAGTCCAGTAGAGCAGAACAATCAGCATGATGGTGGGGAAGGTAATGCCCACATAGATCAGGGACCAGCTGTTGAAGAATGATGAGAGGCCAGGCAACAGGATCACACCCACGGACCAGAAGGTGTCGTACAAGATGATGGCACCAATGCGATGCATTCCAGCAGTGATATCCGCAACTAGAAGGAGAGGAATTGTAGATAGGAGCTTTCGGAGTATTCGCTGGACTTACATATAGCCTGTCCAGCGGTGAACATAATGGCACAGCAGACAGCCGAAAGACATCGAAAGGCGCAGTGCAGAGTGAAGTCTCGGGCATACCCCGTAACGACGCCGCACACAATCTGTGCCACAGCGCCCACGCAGTAAGTGCTCCTTGGACTAATGCCCAGCATCATCTTTGTGCCTAGGACACCGCCCACGAGCACACCAAACAGATGCCAGTACTGTGTCCATGCCACAAAAATGTCTCGCAGGCAAACCAGATTGAACTGCATGATCAGGGAATCAAAGCTGGACGCGTAGGAGAACTGCTCGCATTCCGTCTTACTGCCCGTGCCCTCATCCATCACGTAGCACTGATTATCCGAGATGCTGTAGTTGCCCTCCAGGTAGCTGGTGTCACAGGTGAACTCAGAGCCGGGATACAGCTCGGGACCGGTGAATATGATGCAGGCCATGAACCAGGCGGCAGGAATCTTGCACAGAAATATGATGAGGATCGTTCTCAGCTGCCAGATGCCAAAATCCCCCACCACATCACCAATGACATCGCTGACTGGTGGTGCTGCTGTGGGTGCTGGAGGTGTTACTGCTCTCATTCTCTTCCCAGATTCACTTTCAATCTCATTCGAATGGGCGTGCGAGCCTTGGCGCTGGGACAACTGTGGACTGGGCGTAATGGGACGTCCGGCTCGTATGGCCGGTAGATTAACCATTGCTGCAGTGGCTCCTCCTCGCTAGTGGGACATTCTGTGGAAAAAGAGTTGCAAAACATTTGTTAGCTGCTTTGCCTCGCATATTTCTCAGCTGTTTATTTATTCTTCTGCTCGGATATTGCAATATTGCCTCTCTCCGTGTAGTATTCCCCCTCTGGCTCAATCAATTGATATAAATTGAAAGCGGTTTACAGCTGAAATCACTTGACTTCACGAAGAGCATTGAATATCACGCGGAATTGTTGAAATGCCTGTGCTGCGGTTACTGTTTATTTGATTGAGTTTTATTATTACAAGGATGGATGGAAGTTTCAAACATATTTATTGATCTATTTCGGTTTTACTCATATTTGCGGTTTCCATTTTCACGATCCACTGAATGTTTACTGTGAACCAGCGAACAACCAATTCTGCTATGGCAAGGAAAATATTTAGAGCATGCCGAAGTTGAAATACCCTTCTGCTTCGTAACAGCCTACAAAAGGCGGTGACCCCATAAATGAGACGTGTGCTTTGGTTTAATTTTCATCCGATTGGGATCAAATTTAAGTGCATTATTTAGCAGACATTTTAAAATAAGACTTGCTAATTGTGAACATATAGCAATGAAGTCACACTCCACAAAGAATAACATGAATTGTCATACTCTCTGAGAGGGTACAAGAAAGAAGGTACAAGGAACAGTTATGCTGTCGGCTGCACTCTCTCGACTTTTCTTGCTGCTTGCTTGTATTTCAGCTGACCAGAGAAACAGTTATGCTGCTGTGCATGCGCTCTCGCGAATTTGATGCTCATAGAAGATAAGAGAGCAACATGAACGTCTCTCTCTCTTCTCTTGGACTTTGCCTTTGCTTCTGCTGCCTGCTTTAATTTCTTCTCCCCCTACAAACAAGCATACATACATATGTACACATGTTCTTGTTGATGCCCTGCACTGATTTGATATCGTATCGTAAATCACGCACCTCAAACATTATAGTTGTATCGATATCGGTTGATTAAAGGCAGATAATGAGTGTTGATCCACTGCATTATCTGCTTATTTGCAGTGAACAAACATTGCGAAGATTTGCAGTCATTCGATTGATCTGTTAATTGGATAGATCTTCGCTTGCCAACTCTCTGTTTGATCAACTTTATTGACCGTACTCTTTATGCTTCGATTCCGTAGGCGCTAATTTGGTATTGTCTGGTATGGAAGTTGTCCCACCTCCAGACCAGCGGCCAGGCGGCACATCTGTTTGTCCGGCTATTGGTTGTGCAAATATTTTAGTTTCATATTTTCCAGGCAGTGCTAATTATTGGAAACTGGTCTGGAATCTTGTCTCGCTGGACTTGAATATTTGAATTTCCTATTTGATCCGATAGTGGTTAGTTTTCGTTCCATGCAATGGACACGAAGGCGAAGGCAGGTCGTGCAATTAGTTGAATGACTTGTTTAGAATCCAAATGCAAATTAATGATTGCCCACAGCGCGAACAACTGAACTAAAACATGGACCAGGAAGGCGTAATAGCTGATAGAGTGCTCAAGATTTTGACACGCTAATAAATAGCCAAATTATTCATTCATTTTAATGGAATGCACTCTAATTAACTATGGAACTACGTTGAGTTTTCTTTGAAATATTTGTTCTACCTACACGAAAGTGCCTGTCCTGTTACTGACCTTTATCAACGGGAACTATGGCAAACTCTTGATTTCAGCGATCTAAAACAATTTGCGAAACACCACAAACTTCAAACGTGGTTCCTTCTATGAGAGTGAATATTGTTTCGTTCACGATACACTTTTGTCTGTTGAATTATTTGATTGCATACAAATTAATATAAATTAATTAAGCGAACAATAAATATTGTGTGCGTGCGGGTAGATGTTGGGGTCTATAAGGCAGCTTTCCAATTTGCACGTCGCGCCGCCGTGTTTCTCCTGGGGAGCGAACGCGTCTCAATCGGTTGAGAATCAAATGGCAACTGACGACAGTATCGCCACCATAGGGGCCTCAGAGACAGTCCCGATTGTGGGGCCCACACACTAACAGACAGAGAGACCCAGAGCGTTAATTTTCTAAATGAATTTGCTTAAATAATAAAAACCTATTAACAGAGTTCAATATTTTTTGTGTTTTTTTCGAAAATTCTATCAAGTTTTTGTGGTCTAGTTGACTATCCTTACAGCACAGAGCTTTCCTAGTTTTCAAAAGGAAATGTATTCTCCTTTTATAAAGGCGAGACAATTGTGGTCAAGGGTTACATGTCACTTCCGCAACTTGTTTGCCCATTTAATATTTAATTTTATTGTACAGCAGACTGTCTAATCGATAAAGTGTCCTCTCTCAATGCTCTTTATGATATTGGTTTCTGTTTGAGTTTAGCAATCAAGTGTGCATTATCTTGGCGCGACAACGTAAGAGGGGACTCTGCTCCATTAAAGGGGTTATGGCTTAGGGGCCGTAATAATTATTTTACTTTACGTTATCAGCTTGTTTGCCGGTAGGTACAAGTGCTATCCAAGCCAACTTGTTCTCCCTCTCTCGATCGGATTTCTATTTTAATCTTTATTGTCTGTTTTGCTGTTTTAGTTTTTCATTTTTCTGCAATGACACATCGATTGTTGGGTTCTGTATTTAGTTGCGATTGACCTACATTAATTTTTTTGCAGCAATTAATCTGATTAATGCGTTTCAATACTCTTCGTGGATCTTATCAAAGTTTCTCTGAAATATTTGCTACAGGATGTGCATCATTTAATTATCATAATTGTTTTTTAAATTAGTTGAATTTGTTATAACGCGTATCACGTCGATTGCTAATTGAGTTCATCACTTTTTTGTATCGAAAAAAACGATAGATTCATAATTTAATTAACAGTTGGTGACGCCAAATGCTCGGATTTTGATTGATATTAATACCGGTTAGGTTTACCTTTAGGCAAGCTTCGATTTTTGTGGCGAAATCTAACGATTTTATTTGCCAAACATATGGAAGAAGGTGTGCTCCAGATGGCATTGAGTTCCTACTATTATTTTTATTGCAACAAAATAATTTAAAGCATAGAATTCTGCTACTTTCCTAGGGAAGGACTTTTATAATGTAAAGGTAGACCGTAACTTATTTCGAACCACATTCAACTCACATTAAAATGTACCTTTATCGAAGCCTACTTTTAGGCACAACAAAATCGACTCATATGGTTTCCGAACTGCGCGATTTTGCAGCCTCAGTTGGGCCCACCTCATCTGATCTCGTCTCTAATTCCATCTCCGCCAGGCTGTCACACTCATTGATGGGATAGAAATTGATGTGCCAGATATCGGCTATGCTCACAGCCATATTCCGCTCAAAGTTGCTCAACAGTTCGTTGCTGTAGCCGCTGACTTCGGTGCTGGCGGAGCTGCAGCGACGCAGAATCATCTGCGAGTTCCGGCGATAGGTGTTGGGCGTGGGCACCTGGCTGATGTGGGGCTGTTCCGTGTTCCAGTAGTAACGGTTGAGGCGTCGCAGGGCCAGGCCATAGATCCAGCCAACGGTGGCAATGATGGTGATGGGCACCAACGGATGTATCACAGTCAAGACGCTCAGAAAGGGGCAGAACACCAGGCACAGACGACTAAACGTCACCACCGAGAGCATCAGCAAGACTCGATTCTCACTGGAAACCATTTCGCCCGTGCAGGTTGTCAGTACAGCTATAGAAGCCGAGTTGGCCAGCTTCAAAATCAGCCAGAAGATGAGCTCGAGTCCCACGCGTCGTGAGTTTCTTTCTAATTGCGGAAAAGGAAAGACTTTAAGGTAGGATTCTTCAATTAATTGCATCTTTCTCACCAGTTTCAGGCAGCAGCCAGACCAAATAAGTGCTCAGACTTGCGACAATCATTAGATTCCCGGCCCAGCGCCAATGGCGACGCGTATAGAGAATCATGTAGAGGCCCACAAAGACGCCAACCATTTCGGCGAATCCCAAGGCCGCGGTGTTTACATGAACTTGAGCCGCTCCCAGGTTACGTATCATCAGCAGGGTGATGTTGTACAGCACCATGGCACAGCCCCAGATCCAGTGAATGTAGATCAATTGACTGCGCTTCGTCTCCCCATCCCAGATGCGACAGTAGCTGCGCTTCTGTTCGGCCGCCAGTTCCAGATCCTTGGCATATGCCGTCAGCTGAACATCCAGCGTGAGCGGCACCTTGCGATTGTTGTAGGTGGCAGACTCCAGGCACTGTCGAAGTGCCGCCTCAACGCGCTGATGTCGCAACAGCCAACGGGGAGCATCGGCAATCCAGCGATGCAGCCAGACCAGCACGATGAGCGATGAGGATATGGCCACGTACAGGTAGCTCCAGTCATCGAAATATATGGATATGCCGGGCAGCAGCACCAGTCCAATAGACCAGAACAGCTCCGACAATGTGATGACTATGATGCGCGCCTGTCCCGAGGTAATGTCGTTCACTAAATCGAGAGATAAGAGTGAGTTCGTTTCCTGGGTCTTTTGATTTGGGTTGCACTCCACTTACATATGAACTGACCCGAGGTGTACATGAGGGCGCAGAATATGGACGTGAGACAGCGGAAGTAAATGTGCAACTGGTAGGTGTCCACCAGACCCGTAAGATTGCCACAGAAGATCTGTCCCAGCATGCCCAGCAGCATGAGGCGACGCGGACTTATGCTGAGCAGGAATTTCGTATATTAATATCAATTTTATTGTAATAATATCCCAAGTACAAACCGTTTGAGAGCCGTGTAGGCCATTAGACCACCAATCAGCGCACCCAAAGCATGAAAAGATTGCGTCAGAGCCACCAGAACGCGACGCGAACAAATCAAATCAAACTTCGTGATTAGCGACTTGTAGGCCGTCGTGTGCTCCACTTGCTCACAGGGCAGAGACGACATTGAATCGTCTTTCGGGGCAGTGGCATTCCACTCCTGCCCATGGCGACTCACAAAACCACGGGCCAGGGTCTGGGCATAGGCATTGCACACATCCACATTGAACAGTCGATCTGTGCTGCGCTCCTCCTGCCACGGATTGTTGATGCGGCTGTCGGGGCTCTCCTGTGGCAGCGGTTCGCTGGCATTCCAGTCTGACGGACGACACACAAGCTCTCCTTTCCAGGGATACGGCGCTGTGTAGATAATACAGGCCATGAACCAAGCACTGGGAATCTTGCAGAGAAATATCAGAAGTATGGTCCGCAACTGCCAGCGTCCAAAACTACCATGGACCTGCTCCACAACGTCTACGGCAACGGATGACTTGCGTCGATTTGGACTACCACCCGATTCCGATTCAGATTCCGGCATGATCGGGCCGCGCTGACACCTCGGCGAACGTACTCGGACTGACTTTGCTAATTTTTCATCGATCGGATTTTTTGATACGCCGCGTATGGCTGGCTGGCTGGCTGGCTGGCTGGCTGACTGGGTGGAAAACGATGTTTGTTCTACTGTTTAGTTGTCTCCGCAAATTGGTGCAAATTAGTCGGAGATTTTGTGCCGAGCCTGAGTGACGACTTATTATTAGCATTGTTTTCTTTTTATTTATACCACCAATGACGTGTGCTGTATGCAAAATGGGAAAGAGCTATCCAAATTATTTAATCTCCTTAAAATTGGGCAAGAACAAAATTTTCCATTGATCATTTAGCCCATTTATTTGATGAAGCTTTAATTAATATGACAAGATTCACACCTCACGACAAAGTTGAGCTTTAGATCGAATATGAGACTACATTTATGAAGTTTATAAAAGCTCACAGACCTCTGTGATAGTCCGAAGGTCTCCCAAATTTCGGCTTTGAATATGAAGATATAAAGTATATTTTTACAATCACAAAAAATAACGGTGTGCGGTCGACACATAGAGGAAAAAACATTGAAAAATATTACCTATTTTCATGGAAGGATTCGGTGCGCGGACGTGCAGCACGTGGTAATCGTACTTCAAATGGCTGAGTTCGGACTCTTTACACAGTGGCGCCCCTAGTGTTCGTAAAATGTTAAAAGACCTTTTTAAAAATTTGGCTCAACGTTTGGGATTTCACACCATGTTTTAGGTGAAACTTTTTTGGCATAACTGTGCTACTTGTATGTCAGCCCAGAGCTGGCCCGGTTATATTTAACATAATATATACATTTATATTCCATGTCCTTTGGTTTATAATTAATTTCGTCACTCGTAAATAAATAGATACGGCTGTTGTATATTTTATCGATTCATTTGTTTTATTCAATTTGATCTGTATGTATGTATGTGTGTGTGATGTTCTTATGCTGATTGCGTGGTTCGTTCTCTCTCACTACAAAAGTCACTTTACTCGTCGTCACATAATCGTGAAAATGCAAACGGAAATGTGTCTGAATCATGCTTTACCTATTCAATGTCATGTATTTGCTCATGGTTGCTGTATAAAACGGCAACTTCTGTGTTTTCTATCATAATTAAACATAATTTGAAATATATATTTTACATTTGGTTTTCCGGGGTTATGTTGTGTTTTATTTTTTTTGTGTTTGTTTCGATTTAGGCAATTGGCTTTGTTGTATATATTTTTCGTTGGCTTTGTTTATTCAAATGTTGCATTCATCGCTTTAATCGCTTTTCGTTTGGTGTCGATCTCCAATCAATTATTGTCTGAAACAATTATGTCAGCTAACAAACTCACTTTGCTCTCCAATTGTCTGACAAAAACAATAATCGTAGTTGGTAAAAAAGAATTAGCAGCTACGTGCGCTACTCTCTACTAGTGTTAAAATTAAATTTGGTTTTTATTTAGAATCCTTTTTTGAAGGGCATTCTGCGGTATTTACAGGGGGAGGTGGTTGTCTAAGCGGTTAAATAAAATAAATGCGTTGTTGGATCGAAAATATTTTCCAAGCACTACGTACTTAGACTAAGTGTGGATTTGGCTTTGCAGAGACTTGGCTTTAACAATACAACAAAAAGAACTATGCTAAAACTAATTAATTAATCTAGTTTATGGCGTGTAGTCGATGCGCTGTGACAGTGTACATTCTATTCGAGTTTTTGCCTTGCTTCCATCCCACACTGGCTCACAACAGCTGGGCTTAGAACTCGATTTATATTTATAAAATATATTTCATATTATATTATGCATTATGCAAAATTATTTACAATTCGTCTGATGGTTTTATTGTGGTGTGATGTGCGAGCGACTTATCAGCAAGGAGTATGTACGGTTAGGTCATAGATTTCGAGGTGTAGCTTAGGTTTAAATTTATAATACGCGCACAGAGATTTTGCTTTACTATTTGTAGGGGCTCTTAGCAATATTTTAAGGCGAGACAAGCCAAAACGATTAGCGTGTTTTTTGTCTGCTCAATTAACATTAATCCTTAGACGCTAGTGTAAAGTCCTTCGGTTGTGTTTATGCTTCAGCCATCCACTCCAGCTACCTATATTTATATTTAATATATTTTGTTGAGTTGGTGTCTGACTATATTCTAGTTGCTAAACATTAATATTTGGTTTCGAGTTCAATGATCCGTGCTGAGCGCATCATCCACGTTGCTGTCCCAATTGAATTCCGTGATGCCCTGCTTGAAGTAGATGTTCCCCAGATTAGCATACCGCTGCTCGAAGTTGGTGTCCTTTGCCTTCAGATGTTCAAAACTGTAAAGGGAAATAAGCGAACAAATAATTAATATTCACTCAGGTAAGGAGCGTACAGTTTTTCAATCCTTAATCTACTTTTTTCCGGAATCTACGCATTTCCCAACTTGGCTTTGTCGCAGGGCTAGGATTTCCTTCCTTCCACTGGGATGGGTCGGACCCTACCCTCCTCTCAACCTTTGTTGCACGCTCTTCCTGCAAAAGCTGCTCAATTTACTTGTGCGCAATAGACTGTTTTCTTATGTGCGATGCATGCACCCTGCCATGTCGTAAAAACCCCGTCAATTGTGGATGCAGCTGCCTGAAGTACAGCTGTACGAGTATGTACATATGTACAATAAATAAATCCAAGACTTGGGCAAGACTTCAACACACACACGGGAATACACTCGTAGCGTAGCGTTTGCCTTGCCCCGGGCGCATTGTGAGTGCAGAAAAATGTCAAAGGTCATAAGCAGCGAGCGGCATTGTTCCGGCCCAAGACAAAAGGTTCTCTCTGGCAGGCACCAAAAGATTTTGAGGGAAGGAACAAAAAACGAGGAAAAACCCCGTCAGTCAACAGGCCCAAGTCACAGTTAATGAAACACTTTTTCAGCTCAAAACCCAACCCAAGCTTGCATTGCCGCTTGTTGGATGCGATGGTGGTGGTGGTGGTGGTGGTGGTGCATGGGTATTTTCTCGGTTCTGTGCCCAAGACGTTCGGCCTAACGAATCCACCCTTGAGGATGAGGATGGGGCGCAGGCGCAGCTGCACATTTTGTTGCGTCGTTTCCTCGTTCCGCCTGAGAAGCTAAGTGCCTTTCGAGGGGGGTTCCCATCGAGTGAACTGCGCACAAGTCTCACGTGTGCGCAATCAGCGTCGCAAGATGGTTATCCAACTGGTTCATCCCATCCCCCCCCCCCCCCCCCCCCCCCCCCCCTTTTTTTTTTCGCCCCGGGGGAAAGACCCAACAAAACAAAAAAAAAAAAAAAAAAAAAAAAAAAAAAAC